ACGACTAAAATCGTGTCGAGTTCCCCTAATAAAAAATTAAAACCCTATTTCCTAAAAATTGTGCTTTTAACCCTAGTATCCTTGTGAACAAGGTAGATGAGGGGTGCCTAACACCTTTTCTTTGTCTAAAACCGAGTCAAAAACCTAGAATCTCTAACTTTTTAGGGTTAACCTTTATATTTCCTTTCTTAGGATAAAAATCAAGGGTGGCGACTCTGGATTTCTAAACCAGTTACAACAACTAGCGACTTTGTTGGGGACTCAACCCTAGATTTAAAAGCCTTGTCTTTTGGTTTTAGGGTTTTTAGGGTTTTTTGTTTTTTATATATGCTTATTTAATTATTTATTTATTTTTTTTTGTTATATTTTTTATTATATTTATTCATCTGTGATGGGATTTTATCATTTCAAAAAAATTATTTTCAAAAACCCTTAGAAAAAAGGTTCGTCTATTAGCTAAGGGGATACATCAGCCCTATGAGTTTATGTGATGACTTCACTTAGAGTCAGTGGAATTCCGTGAAAGGAATTCCTCTCAAGAGACATCCTCTTGGGAAGTAGGACTTTGGAATGACACCTATGACTCTTTGTACAACCCTTAAACCAAAATCTCATGATGAAACCTTTCATGACCTAGAGATGAAATTTTGGCCTATAAAGAGGCTCCACTTAAGGGAAGCCCTTTTGCCATTCCCTCTAGTGTTATTCATGATACCCTTAAGAAAACTACCTTATGGGGGAGGGTAGACTATCCGTAGGCCAAAACTAGGAGCCTACTTTCTAAGGATGCCATTAATAAAATCCTGTCGTTAAGCCCTACATCCATGCATTCATACATTTTTGCATTTCATATATTTATCCTCCATTTCCTTTTAGTTGTCTTATTCACAGGGTTTAAAAAGTAATAAGTCAAAGGTTTTTTTTGGGTGGAGTGTCCTAAAATGAATACCAAAAGGAAACAACTTGTTCGCATCAATACCGTCAAGCCATATATGACAAAGATAATAATTATCAAGGATAAACTAAGAGCCGTGAAGATGTTGGTGCTTCCAATAATTGCTTTTTAGTTATCTTTCAATATCTGAAATATATTCCTTTTAAGGATGATTATTATTAATGAAAATACTTTTGTTTCTACGTGTTCATTTCAAGATACTCACCAATAAAAAAAAGCGAAACTTGAAAAATATAAAAAAATATATAACCAAGTGAATAAGACATTCAAAAACGAAACTCTTAGCATATTCATAAGCATTTATCATTCACAAACGCTCGCATCTCATTCATAAAAAACTCATTTTTCAAAAGCTTCTCCAGTTAAACCATTGCTAGAAGAAAAACACCACCTCTCTGACCACCATATTAGACAAGAGCCCATCAACTAAAAGTGATGGAAAAGATTGAGGAGAACCAAGATGCATTTGAGGAGGATCTTGAGCAAGTCAAAGGCAACGTCGACTCAATGAGAGGAGACATGAATCAAGTTATTCTAGCCTTGAAGAATATCATTGACAGACATGAGCAAATCCCTAGGGTAGCCTTTGAAGAAACAACACAAACTATTGGTGCATCGAGCGGTCACCAACTGAGGAAAGAACCGGAGTCTGGACCCTAAAAGTCCACCATGGCCCAACAAGAGACGAGACAGGCTGATACTGAAGGGTTTGTCCCACCTCCACCAAAGGTAGGTGCATCTCATACCCTGCAGATTCTAATTAACAATGCAGATAACTACTTAGACTTACAATATGAAGACCATGACTTAGAGGATGTCAATAAATCACTCTAGAGAATAACCCATACTCATACTACTGAGAATTCAATAGTGCTCGACCAGTACAAAGCTCTGGAAGAAAGATTAAAAGCTGTGGAGGGATATGATGCTTTCAATGTCGATGCTCTCGAAATGGGTTTAGTTCCTAATGTGGTGATCCTGATGAAATTCAAAGTACCTGACTTAGGAAAATACAAGGGGCTCACCTGTCCAAGGAACCATCTGCGCATGTATTGCAGGAAGATGCATGCCTATGCTCAAGACCAGAAGTTGATGATTCATTACTTTCAAGACATTTTAAGTGGGGCATCCTGGATTGGTACATGCAGTTGGAACGGGTTCACTTCCATACATGGGCAGATCTTGTCAATGCCTTCTTGAAGCAATATAAATATAACCTGGACATGGCACCTACCCGCATGCAACTCCAGAATCTATTCCAGAAGAAAGAGGAGTCCTTCAAGGAATATGCTCAAAGGTGGAGAGAAATGGCATCATGTGTACAACCACCACTTCTGGAGAAAGAACTAGTTAATATGTTCATGGGAACCTTGCAAGGGATATACTATGAAAATATGGTAGGAAACATCTCTTCTGGATTTTCGAATTTGGTAAGTGTGATGGTGGCAGAACCGACTGTTATACTGATTTTGTATTTGTGTTTGCAAATGTTACGGTAAGCAAGAGTCGCCACCGACTTTTCTTTTATCCAACAAAGGAAATGGTGAAAAGAACAGAAAAAGACCTTTCGAGATTTTTCTGAATAAGGAGGATAAATTATGGAAAGGGAAGGTGTTATCACCCTTTCCATCCATAGTTATCTACGGGCTCTTAGATGCTTAGCTCATTTTGAAATACCTTGTGCTTTTGTGTGTTTTGAAAATAATTTTTGAAATGCCAATAGTAAGGAGGTTTGCTTTATGATAACTCTTGTATCAATCCTCAAGAGTGTTGATAAAGCATTTGAAAATGTTTTTGAAAGTGTTTCGTGTATGTGAAAAAGTTTATTTTTGAGCAAACATCTAGAAACTATCTACTTTACTCGAAAGAGTCGTTCTTTTCCTCTTTTCCTTTAGACAATGATATCCTACTATTAGTGAGTAGGTAGCTCTAGTAGTTGGATGTTTTGAGGGACATTCGAAAGGACGTTTATAATCACAAAGGCAACTGGATAAGAGATCTTAGTAACTACCCTAAGGTTGTAATATCATTTTTTACCGAGGCAATGTCGAGAGGGTCATCGAGGGACTTATGATCTTTCAAACCAGAGGGTAGCCACTAAAATTTCTCACGTTTTGAGAGTTGTGACTATTTTTCCGAAGGCAACCAAAGTAGAGATACCCTAGAGGTGCGCATGTGCAAGTGTGTTGACTTAAATTTGCTAGCGTTTGATTATTAAGCTCTTGTCATGCAATTCTATCACCATACATCTAAGCAGTTAATATATGTACAAGAAATAAAAATACAGAAATTTAAATCTACATTATTACAAGACTTCGGAGAGGGGAAATTTACAAGTCCAAAGTGGGGAAGAAAATAAAATAATAAAGTAGAAGTCCTAGATTAAACTATTACAAACCAGTAAACAGTTACAATAATATGAAAAAGTGCAAAAGCAAATAAATGCGTGCGAATTGAAAATAACGTCTAAATCTTAAGTGAAAGAAAATCTTTTTGTTTGTTTTTATTTTGAGACCCGTAAAACTTTAAAAAAAAAACATTAAATCATGTAATCAAAGAAAGGGGTACCTAATTTGAAATAAGAGCACAAAATATTACTCAGCTAAGATTAGTTCAAAATAAGTTAATGTTGAGATATTGAGTGATATTATTTGAACACCCTTAATATTGATACGGTATTCAAACACCTATACAAATACATTATTTATAACGGTTGATGTAATTTAAGGAGAGAATAAAATAATAATAAAAATAACATTATATACAAAACATATAGATATACAGTGTTACACAACTAAAAAGGTGTCCAAATAACATTTTTGTATTCGGATTAAGGAATGCGGGAGTTCAAAGTTGAAAAATGCTGAAGTGAGAAAAAAAAAAGATTCCATTAGTTAAATGAGTGTTTCAAATTCTAATATTATATATCACAAGATTCGTTCGAGATTCTAAAATATGGAGTGCGTTTTTAACAATTTAAAGAGTTTGTAAAAAATTTATGTGGTAGGAAATGAAAATCTCAACTTCATATAGTAAAATTTATATCGACGTATTCTTTAACATATTCTTTTTAGTGCATTATTTAATAGATTGAAAGTTAAATAGTTGTATTAAATTATGCATGTCCCATGTAAATTTAGTAATAAATTTTGTGCTAACCTTTAAAAAATTAGAAATAAAAACTTTACTTTAGACTGTGTTAAAGTTTAAAGAATTAATAGTGACAACATCAACATCAACAGAATGCACCATATTCAAACTTAATCCCCAGAACATCAACATTTGATGCAAATAATAGTGACGAACTATAAGAAACACCATGAGAGAACTACCATGCATTCAATATCAAGGTAATAAAGCCACAGTCGAATCAAGAGCAAATAAATTCGAAATAATTCTGAAAATTTCCAGGCCACAATACTGTTTGTTTCATTGTACGTTGCAGGTCGCAGGTAATACCACTCTCAAGAATTGAGATTCGGGCAATTAGCCCTTTCTTTCAACACTTGTACTTAAAAGTAAAACTATCTTTCCATCCGAGGTTCCCAAAATGTTACATAGGAAAAAACTTACAAGTAAACAAAGAACAACCTAGAGAATTTCTTGCTGAAAATATACTTACCTCAAAAATCATTCTTTCTGCACATATGGTCCGAGTTTAAAAATAAAAAACACACTAATAAGTTACAGTTGACAGTCCTTTCATATGCATAATGGTTTAAGGTGCACCGCTGCATTGCCTGCATGTCATCACTCCGAACGCTGCAGAGTATTTTTTAGCAAATGGAACAATCTTTAGAGTGTAATAAGGATGGATCAAACCTGGTCCAAGAAGTATAACAAGTGATTATCTTTTTTCAAATCAGAGGTAGATCATATAACATACACTAAACAAAACATAAGGAAGTGAATATTCTCATGTCTTAATCCTATGATACCAATTATTTCTTTTAAAGATATATATCACAGGTCAACAATTTTATATGTACGACAAAAATAAAATGTGAAAGCCTACCAAAGAAGATTTTCGCATGATAAACAAACCTTAGAGAAAGCCACCCCCAGTCCAAGCGTCATCTGATTTCCCATTATGTCCAACAGTTTTCTTATTAGATGTACCATCATAGAAGTTATCAAATCCATCATCTTTGGCGTTATCCCAGCCAGCCCAACCAGCATCGTTATTATTATGGGGAGCCGATCCTTTAGCTGGTTCTTCCTTCCTAGAATCTTTGTGGTCCCAATCATCCCAAGAGCTCGGATTGTGACTACCAGACTGCCCACCAGACGAATAAGGAGTTGATCCTTTAGTTGGTTCTACCTTCAAACTATCTTTCTGGTCCCAATCATCCCAAGAGTTTGAACTGTGAGTTTTGAATTGCCCTGATGAAGACTGTTCTCTTCCAGTAGAAGAATTGCCTTTGTTCTCTTGATTGAAATCCTGATAGTAGCCATTTCTACCGCTCTCATTTCGTTGCCAGTTATCAGCCTTCCAATCGGAGTTTTCTTTAGTGTACTCCTCAACTTTCTGTGAAGCCAAAGCCATGACCCCTTTCATTAAACCCCAAGTCCTTTGACCGATCTCTGATGTCTTTTGACTGACAACAGTGACAGTTTCGTTGACCTTTTGATCATAACCACCTTCCTTGACCTGAAACAAAGAACAAAAAATTGAATTTGGTTATAAAAAATGAGAGCAACAAAAATAAATCGAAAAGAAAACAATTGGCCTTAACCGCATCTTTGATACAAGGATAACCTATATCCACTTCAATAACAAATAAACCTCCATTCAGTAAATGAGTGACTGACTAAGAAAATATTACACTCTACCACCAGTACTACAGTTGTCAATAACACACTATGGCGTATCTTACAACTATTAGGAGATACACGATAGTTCATAGTTGCAGTCTTGCGGAGTGAAAATAAATATCTGAATATTTCATCCAAAGAACTTCTTTACAATAATGATGCCTGATACTTACTTTTTCTTGAACAATAGTGAGGTTCATGTGAAAGAAACACATAAAAGTGAGGTCCCTATTGACATCATTCGACAGGCTTCGCTCAGACCAGCATTTGACAATTCCAACTCAATTAACATTCATTATAATGAGAAATGAGCCAAAACTCAATGAAGACATGGAAATTATACAAGAAAAGAAAAGATTTTATTCACGCTGCTCAAACGCCAAGGTAACCTTACCAATTTCCAGAATTACCAAATATATAAAGTTTATAAACACAGAATTACAGTCATTTGTGGCACATTTCTTCCTCATTTATTTATATTTAGTTGACAAAGAGAGAAAGGAGTGACTGTATTAAAGATATATACACCATGATAAACAAGTATTGTCAATCACGGATTAAAAAGAAAAACTAGCATTCATTCAAATTGTGCTATACTATTGTGTGGCAATCACTGTAGCACCAACACCTTAGAAAATAAGGTGTGACAGACATTGTGATCACGTTGAATTTATTTATTTTTTCAGATTATGATCAATGTCAACGTGTCAGTGTTGGTGTTTGTGCTTCATAGGTGGCAACTGGTATTTGAAAACACTGACGGGCATATTGCATATCATGAATAACAGTTGTTTGTTGAAATTCCACCTACTCAGCACTATGGTAAAACATGGAAGAAGCAATACATTAACAACAAGCATCTCCACCCGCAAACAATATTGATCCAAATACCTTAGAAGTGATCTCTTTGGTGCCAGCCTGAACAACATTAGCAGCAGAAGCAGCAACCAATGACAACTTACCAATCCCCTGAAACAATTCAACACAATCATGAATCAACCAATCAATTAAAGAACTCAACCAAAAACAAACTAACTCAAACAATTCAATCACCTGAGAAACGACTGAGAAATAGTCATTTTGCGGATTACTCCTGTTCGAAGAAGCCGCAGGACTGGATCCAAATCCAACATATTTCCCACCCTGCGACGGAGGAAGTCCTTCCGGCCGCGACTCATTCTCCGCCATCCTCTTTGCGAAAAAACCCTCCTTATTAGCCGCAGACGCCTCCAACTGCGATCGCGTGTAAATATCCTCGGTCGACCTCGATCTCGTCGGCGCACCACTACCGTTCAAGCTTCTAAAATCCCCAGTCGACTTACTCCTCACATCAACCGAACCTCCAGAATTTCCTTCTTTACCCCAATCATCCCATCCGGAATCGCTACTCCGGCGAGTCTGTGACACCGGCGGCCTCCCCTTTCCGGAACCAATAATCTCCTTAACAACCGGCGGATCGCGCCATGATCGACCTTCCGCGATCGCCTGGATCCTGTCACGATAAACCGAAGCAGCGTTGGTGTTATACTTAGTGACGATATCGGTTTCCTTGGGAATTGAATACCGTGCGAGGAAGGTATTAAGACTGTCGTTACCACCGGCCTCCATTTTTTTGATCTGAATTTCGGACCAGGCATCCATGGTGACAGATCGGACGAACGAGATGTGGACTCCGAGGCCACGGTGCTTGCCGGAGCACTCAAGGCACATGAAGATGCCGTAGGAGACTGAAGCCCACTGTGGATTCTTCTGGGAGCAATCGACGCAGATCTTGTTGCCAGGTTGGGATTGCAGCTCCCGGAGACGCCGAGATGCCGCCATGGATGACGGGAAAATGCGATACTGTGAAGAAAGTGATTCGAGGTTGTTTTAGATTAGTTAACAATCTACTACACTACTAAGAAATTTCGACGTTGCTAGTTGAAATCGGACGGTTCACAATTTTTGTTTATAACTTATTATGTTTTTAATGCTTATAAGTTTTGTTTATTTTAATATTTTTTTTTGGGTAAAATGAATAGGCATATACAATTGATTCTAAAAATTACTTTTTTATATTTTTTTGTCATTTACTTACAAATTATTTTTATGTGTAGGTATCTCACCCCGTCGCCATCTATCTAGTAAAGCGCATAACATATTTGATGTGATTATATTAGTATTAATGTATCAGATTCTATTAGAATTTTGTAGTTAAGTGTGTTTTAGCGAGAGTAGTACTATAATCAGTGATCTCCATAGAAGTTTAAAAGCTGATTTAGAACTTACGAGCCTACTTGATGAGGTGTGTCGGGCTAGGTAAAGCTCTGTTTGAAGTTTCAGATTCTAAACTTGCCAAGTTACAAGAGACTCAGGATTTGAACAATACTTTACTGACAATCGCTCACGAGCGAATTTTCACGCTAAAAAAATGAGTTATATGAGTTGCAAAAGGAGAGGGATTTACTGAAGACTCGGAAAGAAGCTTCTAAATCTAACAGTTAGGAGCTTCTTGAGAAGCTTTCATCATCCAAAAAGGATGTGGCATCTTATAAAGAAGTCGTCGAGGGGCTAGGAGCAAAGCTCTCACGGTCCTAAAAGAATATCGCATACGATAAAAAAGTTGTCGAGGAGTTGGAAACAAAGCTCCAGGGAGCTAGGATGGAGTGTAACGTTTGTTTATTTAATTAAATTAATTATAGATTAATGATTGAACATGTTGTTAAAATTGTTGAAGTTGTGTAATATTGAGAATCGTTGATATAAATTGTTAGATTATTATTAATTAATTAGTTAATTAATAATAATAAATGTTGAAATTATTGGTTTTAGTGATTGACTAATTTTGGTGGTATGTTGTATTAAGGGGGGGGGGGGGGGGGGGGGGTTGAGAATTAGGCCCAACAAACTATTATTATTAAGTTTAGTGATAATAGAAATTAGGTTATTTGAGAATAAGAATTGGAAGTTGAACGTAGAAGTTACAGGAAGGAGAAGTTGCAAAGAAGAGAAATAAGGAGAAGAGGCGAATCAGGATTCGATCGAAAAAATCGTATAGCAACCTTCAATCCAAGGTAAGGGTGGGGTTATGACTCTATAACGGGTTGTTTGATAAATGATACGTGGAATTGGGTTGTATAAACAGAAATATTGCTGTTAAATCTTGTTAACTGTGTTGAAAATATTGTTGTTATTTTCATGTGTTTGGGTTGCTGTTTCGGTGATGAATTGCTTTTGTGCAAATTTGATGTTGTAGTAATTAAAGTGTTGGTATATGAGATTGTCATTAAGAATTTTCTGGGGAAATTTACGTAGAAAACATGTACTGGAAGAGTGTGCCAAGAGGCACTCGAAAAGTGGCGTCCGGTAGGGAAAGGGGTGCCGAGCGGCACCCTGTGTGTGTGTGAGTGTGCCGAGTGGCACATGATTGGAGAGGAAGGATGTGTGCCGAGTGGCACATTGGATAGGAAGGGAAGTGTGCCGCTAGGCACACCTTATTGTGGCGAGGGGGACAGAGAAAGGAAATGGTCCCAGTAGTACTTCTGCGTAGCAGTTTTAGTAATAAATTAATAGTTTCTTTTATTAGTTCTTTCAGTAACTTTTAGTAAATTAATATCATGATGAATAAAACTATAATTAATTACTGAGTATGATTACAGTATAAATTAATCAATAGATTTTTGTGAAGTACTGGAGTATAGATAATTTTAGTAGCTGAATAATATTAATATGATATAGTTGGTATTAAATAGCATAAACATTAGTAGCCAATATATATATATATATATATATATATATATATATATATATATATATATATATATATATATATATATATATATATATATATATATATATATATATATATATATATATATATATATATATATATATATATATATATATATATATATATATATATATATATATATATACAGTAAGGATATACTAGTAGCAGGTTTATTATATTAGCAGAGTAAAGTGTGATTTTGATAATAGTAATGCAGAGTAGAAAATGTTGATAATTTAGATAGAGATTAATTAGCAGGATTTAGTCAATTTGTCTGAATAACTATACAGAACAATTGTTGTATATTTTAGTCGGTACGGTGTGTTGAATATTGTGCTGAAAATATGAATTCAGGTGGCATTGAATTATTAGGCTTATGGCTAATGTTGTTTTCTTGTTGGTGTTGTTGTCAAATTAATATTGTTGATAAGATATTGTTGTTGTGGCGTGCTAAGTTGTAGGCTTATGCCAACGTTGTGTTAATTGTTGTTGTTGAAATATCAAGTTGTAGACCTATGGCCAAAGTTGAATTATGTGGAGTTGATATTGAATCGTTGATTGATGTGTTAGGCTTATGGTCAATGTTGATTTATGTCGAGATGTTGTGTTGTTGTGATTGTCTCTGTGAATTCTTATTGATAATGCAAAGTTGCAGATAACTTTAAATGATGATGAATTACCTCTATTTACTGGTAATAATGGTGATGCGGGCTTATGCCTTGCGATGGATGATGATTGTTATGAGTATGTGATAGTGCATTCATTGAGTCACATACATTTGCATACTATGTGATGGCCTGGATTGGCAAACTGCGAAGAAGGCTTATGCCTTGTTGATGCCTCTATTTATTGGCAGATTTTTAAGATGAGAGTTCTGCTCCAATGGTACGACATGCATGTGCATTGTAATTGTGTCATAATTGATGTTGCATTTTGAGTTGTGGTGATGATATATTTGTTGTTTCTTTATGTTGTTGACTTGTTGTGACAAGTATTATCTAAAAGCTGTGAATTAGTAGTTATGTCGTGTTGATATTTTGTTGTGATTAAAGTTGTTTGTGAGTTGTGAAGTGGTGATTTTATATGATCTGATATAATATATTATTTATCATACGACTTATTATATTGTCCGATATCTCACCCCTTTTGTTTGAATGTTGCCCTATGTTGGTAACGTGCAGGTAATCAAGAAGGATAGTTGTTACCTCGTTAGTTTGAGTCGGTGTTGTCGCTCAGATGCATAGCACTCGGAGGGATGAGCGATTGATGTTTAGTTGATGATTATTATTTCAGTTGCTGAATTTTTAAGTTGATTACATGAAATAGTTCTTGTCTTGAGGTTATTTTAGTTGAATAAAAGATGTTAAGTGAATTGAAGTTGAGTATGTAGATTCTGCTTCTTATCAATAAAAAATTGTTTGATTTTAAAGAATAAATCATGTTGTTATCGGTTCATTCGAGTTAAGTGTTACGTATCTGTTTTATATGCGATTAAATGAAGTTTGATTTTAAGTCGTAAATGTAGCATCCTATTTATGTTGAACTCTGATTTTTAATATTATTCGCCGGGTAGAAATGGGTGTTACATTAGTGGTATCAGAGCAAGTCGGTCCGTTCGACCAAGTTGTCTAATGTTGTTTGTTCCTTAGTGTGCGACAAGTGTGTGAAACACTGTTGGTGCTTGTTGTTTTTCTAATCGGGTTGTATGCAGGAGTTGGGTTGAATATAAGTGGGGGAGAAGCTTTGCTTCTCGGATGTGTTTCGGTTGTAAGATGTTAGTTCAGTATGTTGTTGATGGCGACAGTGCGAGTATTGTTAAAGTTTTGTTGTTTCCTGAATCCGAAGATGACATGGATTCAAGATTTTGTTTGTTAATCAAGTTACAGCGTCTTGAGGGAGGATGATCAGACATTGTTGATGTTTACTTCTCGAAGGATGAGGAGCAATGTGACGGTTGTTGATATACGAGTAGAGTGTAAATCCCTGATGTTTCTGAAGGTGATTGCTAAGTAACAAGGATAATTTTTAGAAGATGGAATTTAGAAAGTCTCAATGTTTCAATACTGCTGGTGGACTGTGAAGTTGTCGGTTTGAGTAGCCCTTGTGTAATATATTGATGTTTCAACGATGATAGAGGGATTGATGGATGTAGACCTTGTCGTGGAATCCTTGTGAGTGATTGTAAAAGTTATTGAATTTGTTGGAATATTTTGAATTGCGAATCAGAGTCGGAAATGTGAGGAGGTGAGTACAATTTCAAGGAATAAGAATGGTAAGTATTGGTACTGGTACTAAGAAATTTTGTTCTGATGTTATCGTAAGGTGTGTGATAGTATGTCGTTGCATGACGTCGGTGTTTGCATTTTTGGATAACTTTAAAAATTCATATCTTGTGTTTCGAGTATCGGATTGGTGTTCCATTTGAACCTATGATGAGATAGAAATATATTCTATCATATGAAAGTGTTTTCAAATATGGTTGATGCATTCCCATATGGAAGAACTCATAAGTCGGGTACATAACTAGAGGCTTTTTGGGCATAAATGATTATTATTGCAGTTGTTCGAGATGAGATCAAGCATAATATGTTGGCGAATAAGTTGAGAAATGAGATGTTCGGCATTAAAAAGGATAGTCGTTCATTATTTCAAGTATGGGATGTTGCTTGTGAAGAAAGTTTTGTAGAACTAAAGAGAAGATTGATGACTGCTCTGGTATTGGTTTTGCCTAATCTTAGTGAGTCATTTGTAGTGTATTATGAATGCATCTAAGATGGGATTTAGTGGTGTGCTAATACGGAAGGGACAAGTTGTTGCTTGTGCTTCTAGACAACTCATAGTTCATGAGGGGAATTATTCTACGCGTGGCTTAGAATTAGTAACGATGGAGTTTATATTGAAGATTTAGAGACATTGTCTTTTTGGTTCTAAATTTGAAGTATTTAGCAACCATAAGAGTTTAAAGTATTTATTTAATCAGAAGGAATTGAATATGAGAAAACGAAGATGGTTGGCGTTGTTGAAAGATTATGATTTCGGTTTAAATTATCAT